GAAGCGGGTGTTTGTCACCTCCATTTCTCTTTGCTCTTTCTTTTTTTTTTTTTAATTCAATTTTGAATTGGGTTGTGGTTTGTCTACTTTGGATTGTTTATTTATCTGAATTGTATGATGACTGAGTATTATAGTTATAATGAGCAAAGAGAATTGTGTGTTTTGTTGCTGAGAAAGCATGAAAAAGATGAAGAACTGAAATGTCTTTTGCCTGTCATATGAATGATAACTTGTCATGAGATTTTGAGATTCTTCATTTTGTGAATGTTTTTCCATTAGACATACAGATAACTGATATATTTGTTTTATCATCTGCTATTGGTATGTTTCATGATTGTTGTGGAACAATGTGGGTGGAATTTTACATATGTTTTTTAAACAATTTTCTATTTTCAAGCTTGTTATGTTTTATTTTGAAAGTTCGGTACTAAAAACTTTCCCGCGCTTTCCATTGGATCATTTAATAGAAAATCTTCTATAGATGAATCTCAGAGAAGCATTCAATAGTATGGAAATTGCGTTTCTTAAACAGTTTTGTATTTCAAGTCCGTTATGCTCATTTTGGAAGTTCGGTACTCAAATTTGTTGAATTTCATAAAACTTTCCCGCGCTTTTTCCATTGGATCTTTCTATAGAAAATATTCAATAGACGCATCTCAAAAAGCATTGAATAGTATGTATATTTACATGTATTTATAAACAATTGTGTATTTTCAAGTCTGTGATGCCATTTTTGGAAGTTCGGTATGCAAATTTCTTGAATCTCATAAAAACTTTCCCACGCTTTCGATTGGATCATTTAATAGAAAATCTTCAATTGATAGATCTCAAGAAGCATTTAATACTGCTGCTATTATTGTATTAGTTATTCTGTATGATCATAGTTGTTTATATTTGTTGTGTACGAATAATTATGGCCGTATTTTTCGGTGTAAACTTCACTTCTTCATTCCTTCTTTGCTCATATCCTTTATTATGTTGCCGTATTAGGGCTTGTACAATTGAAGGCAGCTCCTTAATAATTCAGTGCTATTACCGGCATGTAGATCAAGATTCTGCTGGCTGAGTTTTTGTTGATATCCTAGCCGACTCAGATAAGCAAAGACTGAAAAATATAGTAAAAATGTCTTGCAATAAAGACGAGGCCATGAGGGCCAAAGAGCTGGCAGAGAAGAAGTTTGCAGAGAATGACATTTATGGAGCAAAAAGGGTTGCTTTAAAGGCCCAAAAGTTGTATCCTGAGCTTGATGGTCTCCCTCAATTTTTAGCAGCACTGGATGTGCATATTTCTTTTGGTGAAAGAATTAACGGAGTAGTCGATTGGTACGGGGTCCTTGGTGTAGGACCATTGGCTGATGATGACACAATCCGCAAGCATTACAGAAAACTTGCTTTAGTTCTCCATCCTGATAAAAACAAATCAGTAGGTGCAGAAGGCGCTTTTCAAATATTATCTGAAGCCTGGAGTTTGTTATCTGATAAAACCAAGAGAATTGCCTATGACCAAAAGAGGTATGCTCAAGTTTCAAATGTGAAATCATCATCATCAGTGCCTGCTGGTGAGAATGGTTTCTGTAATGTCTCCAACAATATTAATTTGAATGTGAGAGATCAGAGGTGTGCTACTTTTGCCAAGCACCCCTCTCCTCATTTTCGACCTAAACCTAATACCTTTTGGACTACCTGCAATGCTTGTAAAATGCATTTTGAGTACCTTAGAACTTATCTCAACCACAATCTTCTTTGCCCCAACTGTCGTCAGCCCTTTGTGGCTATTGAGACAACACCCCCACCTTTGAATGGTGGTATTTCCTCTGCTCCCTGGGCTAGCTATGTGCAGCAACATAATTCTAGTCAGACTACGGTGATTGAAAACTCATACGGTCTGGGGAGGAAACCGGCTCCTGCTACAAAAATGAGCTCAGCAAGTTCTTCTGGTGTTGACCTATTAAAGAAAGCCTTTCAATCAGGTGCGTTCTCGAACTCTGGCAGTGCCAGCTGTGCAGTAGCACCATCTATTTTGGCTGGTCAAGCTGCAAGTGGGATTCAGTTATCCCATGGACAACTAAAGCGAGGTCGTGAAGATGCAGCAACAGCTTTCATGAGAGGGGAAGCATTCCAAGTAAAGACTCATGATCTGAAGAAAGGAGTTTTTGGCTTATCTACTGGGTCCTCTTCTGCTGGTTTCAGTTCTGTGACAAAAGTAGATAGGCCTAAAAAGAAAAGACGCAAAGATGAACATAGGTTGAATAATATTGAAAGAGAGATGGCAAATCAAATTTCCTCCGGAATTGGGGGAGTTGGCGTGCCTGGTTCTGAAAATGGTATCTTCAAAACAGTAAAGATGAAAATTGCTGGAATCCAAAAATCTAATAGTAGTCGAGAGTTGTCACAGCTAGATATTCGGAGTATGTTGATGGGTAAAGCTAAGAAAGAGATTTGCAGAAAGCTTGACGAATGGAGCATGGAGTCGATGTTAAAGACATCACATGAATCAAGGAGTATTGGTAAGGAGATCAAAGAGAAGAAAGAAAGGCAAAAAGATAATGTGAATGGTCTGGAAACTGATGCAAAAGCATGTTCGGAGCTCTTGGATACCAAGACCGGTGTTCAGGCTGAAAAGCCGTCTCTTGCTAAGTCTGATATTGAGCCTGGTAACAAGGACATGGATCCAACATCCATGAGTGTTCTGGATCCAGATTTTCATGATTTTGACCAGGATCGTACAGAAAAATCATTTGGTGAAAACCAAGTTTGGGCTGTTTATGATGATGATGATGGGATGCCTCGTTATTATGCTATGATTCACAGAGTGATATCATTGAAACCCTTCAAAGTGCGAATCAGTTGGCTTAATTCCAAAAGCAACAACGAGCTGGCCCCATTAAATTGGGTTGCTTCGGGCTTTCCCAAGACTAGTGGAGAGTTTTGGAGAGGCAAGTATGAAGTCAATAACTCTCTTAATTCTTTCTCACATAAGGTTAGATGGGCAAAAGGCACAAGAGGGGCCATTCAAATATATCCTCGGAAGGGAGATGTCTGGGCACTGTACAGGAACTGGTCCACTAATTGGAATGAGCAAACTCCAGACGAAGTCATACACAAATATGACATGGTGGAAGTGCTAGAAGATTACAATGAGAAGACGGGTATCACTGTTATGCCCCTCATTAAAGTTCCTGGTTTGAAGACAGTGTTTCGCCAGCCTCTGGAGCAAAGTAAAACTAGAAGAATTCCAAGAGTAGAGATGTTTCGGTTCTCTCACCAAGTTCCTTCTTACTTGCTCGCAGGTCATGAAGGCCATAATGCTCCTAAGGGTTGCTTGGAACTTGATCCTGCATCCACACCTTTGGAACTTCTTCAAGTGTTAACTGAAGCTCACCTGGAAGAGATGGAAGCTACAGGCAAAGGTAAGGAAGAATATCCGTCGGAGTGTGTGAAAAATATCGAGGAAGAAGAGCTGGTGAAGAATGGCAAAACCAAGGAAAAAATCATTGCAGAAGATGTGCATAAAAAAGTTGATACAGAAAGGAAGGAAATTAGGGAAGAAAAAAAGATGTTGGTGTACAAACGGAGACGATAGCGAAATCAGGAAAGATTCAGGGTATTGAACTATTACCAATTCAGCTTTTTTGAGTATATGGGCTAACCGAAGAAGAGAATACTTATTGAAATCAAACACAATGCTAATCTTAGCAGTTCTGTTTTTGCAAAGACAGGGTTGGAGGGTAAATTAGACTTGTTTGGTTAATGGTAATTTAAATCTCCATGGCATATAAGAAAAGTCCCTTATTTGAAAGAGGAGTTATTATTATTTTTATGGTTTTTAGACACCCTCTTAAAGTAAAAAATCTTCTATAGCTGGTGAAGTTGATGTGCCCTGTATCTGCAATTTATATTCAAAATTTTGATGCACAGATTACTTTTGCAATCCTTGTTCTCGACCTCATTGGAAACTTTGGATGTAGTTCCATCTAATATTCAGCCTTGCTGCTGAAGTGTATTTCTCTTTAAATATGTGGTATAAAGAGAAATAATTTTTAAGCACTGCTGGATTGACTGCAATATTGCTAAATATTTGACTGTAGATTTGGTCAACTTATAGAAAGATATCATTGGCATAGCATTAATAAAAAAATGGCTTTTGGCTGGGAATTTATTAATGATCATTGGAGAACAAATATATTTGAGGGAAATTGAAAACCTTGTGAGAGAGGAACATATTCCCTCGTTATTATTAACCTATACTTTATAAATATAAAGTTGTTATTATTTTATTAGTGGAAAATTGTTTTAAGACTTGAGTTAACAATGTGGATCAATACAAACAAGTTATATATTTATGATTATGATTGAATTAAGGAGGTTTTATAAGTGAAGAAGGGAAGTGGGCATACATACAATTCTAAAAAATAAAGTAGGTACAAGCATAATTCAACCTGTGAAATTGTGGTACATGCATTTGTAGTATGTATGTTTGAAGGTGAGGAATATTAGTTTAAATAAATTTATTTAAAGAAATCAACAACTTTAAGGAGTGTTCCCTGGTCAAATATTTGTTTAAAATAAAGTGGTTTCCCTTAAAATAACTGTATTTTTTGTAATTATAATTTAAGATAAGCTATACCATTTAGAAAATGAAAAAAAAAACTAAGAAAAACAATAATAAAAACTAACAAACTTAAACTTGAAAAAGACAATAAATAGATTAAAGACAAACTGAACAGAGAAACGTCGAGAAGAGAATCTAAAAATCTTATTAGTTAAATACAAAATAACAACTCTCCTCACGCTTGTACCTTATCCCATCCTCTTTCTCCCAAACAAAATCCCAACCGTCCATTCCTTCCTTCATCTCTACCTCCTGCAAACACATCTCCCACATCCGATCGAACAAACTCACATCTGTCCACATTTAAATCATCAAACAAACATCACCAATCCACGATCATCCATTCATCATCATCAAAAATCTTAATCATAATCATAATCAAAATCCAATGGAGAATACCCAGCAAGGTCAATCCTCCTCATACCCACAACCCCAACCTCCTTCCTCTGCTGCTGCTGCTGCTGGCGCGCCTTTTCACCATCTCCTTCAACAGCAGCATCAGCAGCTCCAAATGTTTTGGTCTTACCAGCGTCAAGAAATCGAACAAGTCAACGATTTCAAGAACCACCAGCTCCCTCTTGCTCGCATCAAGAAAATCATGAAAGCCGATGAGGACGTTCGCATGATCTCCGCTGAAGCCCCTATTTTGTTTGCCAAGGCTTGCGAGCTTTTCATTTTGGAGCTCACTATTCGCTCCTGGCTTCACGCTGAAGAAAACAAACGAAGGACTTTACAGAAAAACGACATCGCTGCGGCCATTACTAGGACTGATATTTTTGATTTCTTGGTCGATATCGTGCCTAGAGATGAGATTAAGGATGAGGCTGCCGGATTGGGAGGGATGGTGGGGACCACCGCCAGTGGAGTGCCATATTATTATCCGCCCATGGGCCAGCCCACGGGTGCTGCTGGGCCTGGAGGGATGATGATTGGTCGGCCCGCTGTTGATCCTACTGGAGTTTATGTTCAGCCGCCCAGTCAGGCTTGGCAGTCCGTGTGGCAGACAGCGGGTACTGGAGACGACGGCTCTTATGGGAGTGGAGGGAGCGCTGGCCAAACTAATCTTGATGGCCAAAGCTAGGGTATGTTTTTTTTATAGCGATCGTTCTGCGTGCCTTTTGTTTTGGATTTTTGTGCATTTTTTTGTTGTTTCAAATTTTATTTTTGATTGTCCATTTTTTGTTTTTTCTTTGATGATTTTGCTTTTCGGTGGAGGGTTTGGTTTAAAGTAATTAGTTATTTGAAGTTTCGCAGTGTAGGACAAGAAGCTGTTTCTTTTTGGACTGATATTTAACTAACATGATTTGGAATTTTCTAGGATTTCTCTATGACTGACATCAACTTAGTAGATTTGTGTCCTAGGGTTTCTAGTTGTTGTATTTCTGTAAATCTAATCATTGATTTTCATTGAAATTACAAGTGCTGGTATGGGATTGTGATGAAGTTTCAAAGTCATTAATGCATGCAATTTTCAATCACATTTGTTTGTGTTGGTGTTGCGGAAATGCATTAACAGATGTGAAGAGGCTGTTTGTGTTCCTCCTTTAAATAAATAAAATAAAAATATAAAGGAAAGAAAACACACACACACACACACACAGCTACTCACATTGACTAACAATTGTTTTGGGGGAACTGTTAGAGGTTGAGGACGAAAGAGTGTCCAAAGAATTTGAGTTCTTTTGTAACTGTAAGCTGGATTTGAATCAGTTGTTGGAAATGATTGTCTTAGAGGAAGAATCAGAGAATGAATTGTTAAACAGCTTGAGAAATTCTATTCAAAGAAAGAGGGAAGCTTGTGAAATTTCCTTAGAGTGGTTACATGTGAGAGAGCTCTTTATGGAAGGGAGAGTTTGTACTTTGTACTGGCCACAAATGGTTCATGTTGAAGTGCTGGATATAAATTGTTCAGATAAAGTGGTTTTAGGAAATGTTATTATTACAATAGGTTAGTAACTAACCTTAATCAAAAGGATATGGGACACTAATGAAGAATTATTTGAGAAATAATCTAGTGAGCTTCCTTTTTCATCATTTACTGAAACAAGACTGGTTGAAACGGTGGATTGGTAATTGACATTTTAAACTTAAATATAGGTAACATGTAAATATATCTCCACTACTTGTTGCATTTTCTATGGCAGATATGGTTCTTTGTATCAGTTAACTTTTGAATTTTGAATGGTTAGAAATTAGAGACATGTAAATTTTAGTTACTTTAGTTGTTGTGCTTGAGTAGCTTCTAAACCATATTAAGCTGTCTCCTGCAAAAGTTGAGAGATACTTTGGGCTTCATAACTCAACCAAGCCGGATTATGGATATGATATTACCTTGGCAAGCTTGAGCACTTTATTTTTTGGCTTGGTGCCCTAGAGAGGATCAAGAATGCTACCTTCTTGAAAACTGAGTTTGCTCTGCAACTATGTTTTCTTTCTTGATTTTTGTCCTATCCTCTGTTGTTTGGCAGTCCACCATCCAATATCTTTCTGCCAGTGACAGGTCCGCATGATTGGTCCCATCAGTTAATTTTTGGCTTTAAAGGGGTTATAAGTTTAGGAATTCATGATAATAAACCGACAGAAGATGGACATTAGTCATTATTGTCTGCCATTTAAGCTTGTGCAGTTGTCAAACGGAGCTTTCTCTGAGTTTCTTAGTTAAACCCATGTTGTTTTTGGCTTGACTTTGACTTAAAGTTGAGTTCAGCTCCGGTTTAATATGACCAAGACAAGCCCCAAGTGGTTAAGTGTTATTTGGCTCTTCTCTCTGCCCTATAAATGAGGCAGTTTAGCTGGTTTATTATAGAATTTTCTGTGGAATGATATTTTCCTTCTTGAGATTGTCTGACCTCCTGTTTGCAATTAATAAACTTTAAGATCTTTTGTAATAATACAATGAGAGCTCACCGAACATGTAGGAAAGGTCAAGAGATTTCCAAAATAAAAAAAAAAAAGGGGGAGAAAATACAATTTGAAATGTGAATTTCAATCTTTTATACAATTTGAAATGTGAATTTCAATCTTTTTTGGTATTACAAATTGTGAATATCTGTTATAATGCTAGAATGTATGCTAGCTTTCTTAATCACAATGAACATCCTTCCAATTTGATTTGAAGCTATATTTATGTAGTTTGATCTTGAATTTGTAAGCTGAATATTGGCATACTACTAAGCAAAAGGCCATCATCAAGGTGCACCATATGGCGCACTTACAAGAAATTTAAGGTGGAAAAGTATTCAAATTTGTTTATGCTTATAGCCTTTGGCATTATGTTGTGCATAGCTTTATTTGTTATGATGATATATCACATATTTGCTGTGTTTTTAAAAAAATTATGGATAGTTTTCTTAGTTTATTCAAACTCCAAGACAAATAAATGCATTTCCTGTTCCTTTTATCATTGAAGCATGAGTTCTTTTCTATCATACAATGGGTATCTTGGTCTTGTTTGTGGCGGTACACAGTGGTCCATACATGTTGACTTTTTAAATTGCCTATTGAATGAGATTTCAAGTTTGGCAAGGGATGCCTTTAGGTAATTACCATGGTTCCTTGGGAATTTTTGAATTGGTTGCGGAAAGATGGGATGAATCAGTATATTATATCCCATAAGGTTCTTAATTGTTTGGAACTCAGGTATTAGGAAAAAAAGTAAATTCTCTTTTGACCAAATTGCAACGAACATTTGTGAAAGTAAAAGTGCTCTAATAGTTCTCGTTCATGTCATTTGCTGTTTATCAAGGTTTGTAACCGATCAATCTCAAATTATTCTTCCTGTTTTCTGCAGCTAAGCAACTGGTGTGCTGATGATACGGTACTCTCTGGTGTGGTAGAAGGCACTGAAGCTCAGCCAGTGCCTTAGGAATTTTGCTTACGAAATGATTATATATGCACTTGCCTGTATTGTTTATGGAGACTACTTTCACATGTGATGACTTCATTAAAAACTTGTGAAAACTTTTAACTTGATTTAGTGCAGTGAAACTATTGCTGTTATGACTTGCCTAATCTATATCTAATGTGCAGTTCTGGATTTGTGAACCATTCGTTTTTCTAAATTATTCTGGTTTGTTTATATTTATTCGGACTCAAATCCTAGTTGCTGTCGCATAGTTAGCGTTCCATTATTTCTCAATATATAAAAATAATTGTTCCATTTTATTTTTTCTTTTTCTTTTTACTTGGCTGGGCCTTTAAGGTAAAGAGCTTGAATACGAAATATTCTCTCCTTTATTTACCACCTTTTCTTAGCTTACATTTACATGATTGAACCAACTCAATTATATAAAGAAGCTGGCCGAACGACTGCACCCACCTAAGGTTTGCCGTAAAGACAATGTGGTACCCAAATAGTTTGAAAACGACAAACGGGTACCTTCCATCATTCTTTATCAGTGATTTTTGTCTGCTAAAAGGTAACATAGTAACTTTATGTAGAGTTGTAAAGTTTTAAATTTTAATTATCTTTCTCGGGGTATGGAGCGAAGCTTCTATTGGAAGATTCATTGGATGTTTAACACGTGTCCTCAACAGTTGACATTGAATTAAAAAAAAAAAAAAAAAGAGTAAACAAAAAGTTGCGGCTTTGTTCTTTGTTTGTGAAAGAGCTTGAGCAACTGAATGGCAACCATCGACAATGACCAACGAAACAAAAACCAATGATAGGGGAGGACGAGTTAAAACCAGCCACCATGATGGAGTGAGCTTCATCGAATGGCAAAGACACGTAAACAGAGACGAAAGATGACGTGTGAGGGAGAGAACCGTCTGGAAGTGGCATAGGTGGAGGACAATTGAATATTGTACAACTGTGTCTATCCAACTCGAACTGCTTATTTTGGCACTGCTCTGGTATCTGAGATGAGGGATTCTTCTTTGATATTTAGTTAAAATATATTAACTAGCCTTCCTCAACAGTGGGGGACAATGAATCTTGAGAACTATTTTGAGTACTTTGAAAATATATAAAAATTGTATTTTCCCACAATTATGTCCATTTTGTATTGCTTGAAGACATGACTATAGTGGAACTGGTTACTTCTTAATATTTTCAATAGTATTGCAAATCATGTACTATTTGATGGATCTAGTAGCTTTTCACTCAGCAATACTAATATGGGTTTTTATATTCACCAACTTGCATTAAATCTCATTTTTAAATTCACAAATAATCCAATTTTGAAAGTCTGGTGTGTTACAGTTCCCTTATTTTAAAACTCTAATGTTAAGTACTTAATTTAATGCATAGAGAGTTCTAAAACTCAAAACACAAAGCAATGGCTGATGACACTTAGCCCATTGATCTTATGTGCGCTTGTTAACTATGAAAGACTTGTTGTTCTTGGTTTTTCATATTTTAGTGCAGTAGTAAGTCGGTTTATGTTTGGTTCGCAAGATTTGGAAGTCATATATTTCTAAGTCATGTATTTCTTCTTTATAAATTTCATTCGTTTTTGGACAGGTCTGTAGTTAATTATTCATATTTTGGGTTAGGGAGAGAAGGAATTGGCCTCTTTTTGAATTTTTGGACAGGTCTACAATTACATTGTATTTAAGTCTCTCTTCAATATTCATCTTTCCTTTCCAATGATTTAGGAGAATTTTCAGTGGTTTGCCTGTATTGTAGACAAGCTCAAGAATTGTCAATATTTCTATCATACAGTATTGAAACATTTAGGGAGGTTTTGAGGTGTTGAGTTGAGCCAATAATGCCGTGTTATTGATAGTGTTCAAAATAGATATATACTATATTTTTATCTAGAAAGGAGATAAACTCAAGTAGTGAATTGGATGGTATGATCCTTGGTTTTCAATCAAGAGGTTGGAAATAAGATTGTGGGATTTGACTGTAATCCGTAAAGCCTAGCTTCCAATGAGGTGCACATGTCAAGTGATCTATGGCTCATCAAAAATAAAAAAATAAAAAAACTTTATTGTCTGTATTTTATTAGTTTATACTTTTGTGTTGTTATAAATTATCATTCATTGTGCTTTATCTTGGCAGGTTTTGGCCACAATTTGTGAAGAGCTACCTCTAGATGGTGTTCTCTTAATATGTTGTTCAAGATTTTCGAAGAGCAATAGGCCATACTTCAAAAGCAGTTAAATTTTGGAAGATGTAAACTCCACATATACCATGCTCTTGAAGATTTACACAACTTTTTGGAGATGCTAACAGAAGCATCTTGTTAATTGTTTTTGCTTTTTTTTTTTTTTTTTTTTTTTTTTGTATTTCTTCACTGTAAACTAATTTTATTGTATTGAATTCATATTTATGTCATTTGTAACTTATTCTAATCTCCCTCTTCCGAGCCTGAATTGAATACTTTTGCTTTGAATCTTTCATAATTTGTTCTAATAAATTAAATTCCCTATTTTTGTTAGCTTTCAATTGGTTCATCATAATGTTAACTAATATTGTCAGAAGTTGAATTTTTTGTATACAATTTCAGTTTTTAACTTGCTTGTCTTCGAGACATATGAATTCCCCATGCGCATATGACTGTGCATCAAGATTAAATTTACACCATCTCAGTGCTCTTTTAAGTACATCTTCATGGATAGCTATGAACATGAAATTGATGTGCTAATGGCTTTGACCCTGCGAAGTGTATGGTCGTTCTAATAAAGCTGAAACAACAGAACTTGTAACTATAGTGCATGTTTAATAAACATTCACAGATAGATGCCTACTGAATTAACTTGTTCCTTTAGCAGGCTTCAAAATTGATAAATTATATTATGTCGAGTAATTCACTTAGAAAACCAACATAAAAGTGTACAACAATAAAACTCTCATTGATATGAAAATTGTCATATAACATATAGAAAGTAGCATGCAAATTCTCGATCTCTAAGTGTGTAGATCCAAACTAACACAACGAGAGCAACAATGCATAGATATTGTGAGATGGAAACCGAGTCTTGCATCACCTTTATCATGTCCCGTTTAACTACATTGACATTCATAGCCATATGTTCAAGAAAAGAATCATTCATGTGGTTGTCATCAAAACCAAGTTGCATTCTTCCGTATGCCACTTTTCTCCATCTGAGTGGAGTTGGAGGAGAGCTATTTCTATCTATTGCAATTCCACTGATCTATGGCAACCATAGTCTGCTTTGTTTCAAATTGTCAGCATTTGAAGATACATCTTTCACAACGCAACCACTGCTTCACACAAGCCTATTCCACCACACATGATCCACAAGAAATAACATAAATGCCAGACGAATGTTTTACGGTAGCAACATCCACTTCAAAATCAAATAACCTGTACACACACGGCAACAATTAGGTCCATAATCACTGATCACAGTAATAGCTTGATGAGGAAACTGCACCGGATAAACACACAACTTTTAACATTCCTCTCTTCTAAAATTTAGCATTAAATTAAAGTTACATAGCTACTTGATTTAGCTGTTTAGCCTTTAATTATATGATAGCTATTGCATATAAGTATATGAATTGACTCTACTACTTTTCTTACCAAACTTTAAATTAATTATTCGACAAATTCACTAAGATGCTAAAGCTTCTTCTAAAACTGGATCCTTTGTCCTGTTCTTCTTCATTGTTTCTTGTTAGTCTTTCTCACATTTAAGTAGTTATGATGGAAACTATAATTGTCCAAGTATAGCAGCGACTAAAATGACAAAGAACATTAACAACTTGATAAGAAAACTCAGTTAATTTATGTTTATATCATAAGATCTGCTTAATAGTTTCGACAACTATCCATAAACGCATAAAAAGCTAGTCAAAGTCCCAAAATAGCAGAGATGATGAATATTTCACTTCAGAAACCAGAAAAACTTATGTGAAACTGGAAATTATAGTCAGCTTATAACAACTCAAACCATAACAACAGAACCCCATTAAAATTTTGCTGCTCAACATGCGTTCATAATCATAGACACCATGAACTATTAGAATCAAAGTCAATATAAATTCAATTGAAATAGGACTAGGGATCCATATAGAGAGACTCACACTTTTTCTGGCGAAGCCACACTACTTCTCTATCTTTCACCAAATGCAACAAACATCCAAACAAAGAGTAAGAAAAAAAGAAAACAGAAGAAAAAACAAAAATGTCAGGAAGAGGAAAGGGAGGCAAGGGATTGGGAAAGGGGGGAGCAAAACATCACCAAGTGTCAAAGAGAAAACATGATCAGGGGACCACGAAGCCGGTGATTTGGCGTCTGGCAAGGCGTGATGACGTCAAGCCAATGAAGATTCAACATGGCGGTGTGCCGGACTCTATATGGTTTTGGTGGTTAGGGTTAGGATTTGGTTTGTCAGCGTTTTAATGGATTTTGTAATGAAATCTCATCAATTAATGAAGATTTCAGAATGCTGGAGAAGAAGGGGAAAAAAAAAAGCGATTTTGTCAATCTATTTCATCAAATAGAGAGCGATGGAGAAGAAAAAATAAGAAGCAAAAAAAGAGTGATGGAGAAGAAGAAATAGAAAATCAGAACAGTGGAGAAGAAAAAAAATTCATTAATTGATGTGGCAAACTTTCAAGGGCATTCCAATCTTTTCAAGAAATGTACCCTTTAGCAGACAGAAATCACTAACAGAGAATGACAGAAGGTACTTATTTGTCATTTCCAAACTATTTGGATACCAAATTGTCTTTACAACAAACCTTGGGTAGGTGGCAGTCGTTCGCCCTAAAGAAGATAAGAGAAAATTGACAGATTGGAACAATGCGAGTGCCCCATTAAAATTAAAAATATTGTTTATTTAATCTCTCTAAAATTCTTGTTATTGAGGAGTTAAAAGACCTTTGGTTCAAGTTGTAGCAAGGGCAAGGAATGGCCACCAATTACCATACCCAAAAAAAAATAAAAAAATATTATTATTATAATGTCTATTCTACTGGTTACTTTGACATTCTGGTGGCTGGTTTGGGAACCTTCGCTTATCGGAGCAATAATCATAAACCAAGTAATTGCTCCTCACATTCTCATATGATCTTTGTTCATCCGGGTTCAGTCTCCAGTATTTCTCACTATTCCACCAAAATTTTGAAGAGTAACATTGCTGAGTGTCGTTGTCTTGTATTACACAGCCAGCTACACTGAAGTCTTGGTAGTGGGCTTGGAAAGGTGCTTGACTCCAATTAATTTTCTTAGCAGATGCCCATTCTGCATTCCAGATTGTTGCCATTATATACATTGGCTGTGGTAGCTTACTCCAATCTTTGTGTTATTCTTAAATACCCTCACCGGGACATTGTCAACATAGAACCTGAAAACTCAATTTGTTAATTATATTTAAAGTTGATTTGGTTTGACATATGTGAGAGAGAAAGATTGGAAAGATTTTCTTACACTACTTGATGTTCATTCCAAAGAAGTCTGTAAGAATGGAAATCTTTGGTGGGATCAAACCAAAGATTAAGTCGTTGCTCTCTATTCCCTCGACCATTTGTAAACAAATTTGTGTGTAATTTGCAAGGTGGTCCATTGTTCCCCAACATCTCAATATCTATCTCATCATGGTTATCCGAACGTGAAGTTATCTGTAAATAATAGATAGTCTTACTCTTTGATTAGTCTCTAAATCATATATGAAGTAAATGGGACGCAGAAGCAAATATATGAAAGATTCTCACATAGAAAGTTGCAACAACTCCACTAGAGTTTTTATCTGGTATCTTCATTCTAATGTGAAAGAACCCTGATGCATATGGCACCTTGGACTCAAATCCAGCCCCCCCTAAAAGCCAAAGTAAAATTAATGAAGATTGACATGAAAAATCATTATTGTGAGTGTAAGAGAGTGAAAATAAGATCAACCAGAATTGGAGTACAAAGAAAGCTGAATTTCTCTTTCTTGGTTTGAAAGCAAGGCGTGACCGAATCCCCAGGTGAGTTTGTAGTTCTCATAAAAGCTTGTGTTATCATCTGCACTTGTACGCCCTGATGAAACAATAAGAAGAAAAACAAATATCACAGCTACAACCCAAGAATCCATTGACGAAATTGTGGGAAAGAATGAATTTTCTGCTGATGCAAAAAAACACAGCTTGTTAAAACTTAAAGACATGCAACACTGTGATTTATTCATTAATTAAGAAGTTAATTTATAGGTGAAATTAATGGTTCCGGCATCTAACTTGAAATTAAAATTTCCAGTTTCTGGAAATCAAGTTAGGAAAGGCATTATGACAAAGCAATTACCGAAATCGGAAATAGTAAGTGTTGATGCGCGATTTAGGCACCAACTAATTGACACGTGTGCAGCGTTGATTGGATAAGGGACACATGTGAATATGGATTATCAATATGAAATGAATGCAATGAGAACTTTTAAAGTGGTTCGGATGCTAAGGTAGCAAATCCTACATCCACTGATTTGTATTAATATGGTGAGTCAGGTCGCTAAAGCGGACTGACTTACAAATGATTGAAAAGTAAAAACAGAGCCTCCTTTTGAGAGAGAGAGAGAGGGAGTTTAAATGTCAAAATGATCGAATCCCCTTAATGAAGGGGTCTTCCTCTTCTTATACCAAGCTGAATGCGTGTAATCATCATTAAATCCTTGGGTTGATGTGAATGTCAGGACATAATCTGGCTTTATGTCTCATTACCCATTTCCCAAGCTGATTTTACGCGATTTGGAGCAGGTAAGCGGACACGTGGGAGCTCCAGGGCGCTTGGCAGGCCTGACGTGCGCTTACCATTCTGACGGAAGCAGGCCACGTTTCGTCCGTGACTCCACGTCAACCCTTTATTTCCCAGGCATAACAGTAAGTAAGAGAATAATTTTAGATTTTATTTCCTGATCATATATATTTATTAATGGTTAAACTCAGATCGATCTAGAATCCTCATTTATGCACTATCTACCTGTGTCTTCATCAATCCTACAAGTATCAAATGTTTTGTAAAAATATCTTCAATAATTCTCTATAACACTTAAAAATCTTTTCTTACCCCAAAAAACACTTGTTTTTTATTTCCATAAGTAAACATATTCTGTTATTTCAAAGTATTTGACATAAGTAATACTACTTTAACTTAATTGCTTGGTGATATATAACTCTAATAAGGAATTAATCAAACCAACAAAATAATATTAGATTTTACATTATCAATCTAGTGATTTTATTAATTGCTTTCCCGAAATTATATTTTATATTCTTTTAACAATTATTAAATAATAATAATAATAATAACTTTTTAGACCACCAGACTACACCAAGGGGGCGTTTGGTTCGGAGAATGTTAGATTACTGGGAATGTTGGATTACTGGAAAAATAGATTACCTTGAACATTACTAGGAATCTTTAGGAAAATGTGTTTGGTTAGTTGGTGTATATGTTATATTAATATGTTTGGTTATAGGGAATAAATTGGTAGATATGTTATTTAAATTACTAAATTGTCCCCTTTTTAAATATTATTTTTATTATTAATTTTTGAATAATTTTTTAACCCCCAATATTTAAGATTTAGCTAAAACACCCCTGCTTATATAAAACTTTAATTTATGACGAAATCACCCCCACCTCTTCTCGCCGCCTGTCGCCATCGCAAACCACCGCCGGAAGTCTCCGAAAGTCCCCGTGAGTAGCTCACCGTGACTAAGAGGCTCCGAGATGGCTGTTTCTGGCCATATTGAAGCCTCCCGGAGCCTCCCACCGAATCTCGTTCTTTTTTAGGGACTCCGACGACTTTCCGGCGGCGGTCCGTGGTGTTTGGCCCGCTGTCGACGGTGGTGGCTGTGTGGTAGTGGTGGTCTGTAAATTGTTTTAAATATAAGGGCATTATTGTCCAAAATTTTAATTGAACAAGGGTAAAATTGAAATAGGATATTAATGTAAATTTCTTTTAAAATAGGGGCATTATTGTCCAAAATTTTTATTAATAAGGGATAAAATTGTAACAAAAAAAATAACTCTGGTAATTCAATATTAACTATAGTAACCATAATAACCACTATTGGTATTTAAAGATTACCGGTATCTTATATTACTTGATAACCGAACATGATAATCAAGTAATATAAGATCAGTTTCCCCTAATAATGTCAAATACCCCCTAAACGTTAAGGGTCAGTTTGGTCATACAAAAATCAGAGTCCACCACAGCAATTTTGACTGGTTACAGACACAGTAACAAACAAAAATCGGAAAAGCATTTGACATTACGCACTGAACGTGCCCCAAACAATCACCGCCTTCAACCTTCTTCTTTAATTTTCAGATCTGCATAAACATATCAGAAATGGACACTCTAGACTCCGTCATGGATCCTCTCAGAGAATTCTCCAAGGGCAGCGTCCGCCTTGTCAAGCGTTGCCACAAGCCTGATCGCAAAGGTCTATTTATTTATTTCTTTACTTATTTGTGTATATTTATTTGGTTTATGTTTTTGTAGTTCTGAAATTAGGGTTTTGTTTTGGTGTGTAGAATTCACTAAAGTCGCGTTCCGTACCGCCATTGGATTTGTGGTGATGGGATTTGTTGGATTTTTCGTTAAAATGATCTTCATTCCCATTAACAACATCATCGTTGGTTCTGCTTAGGTAATTCTTCCTATTTTTATCTTCTCCTTTTTTAATTGTATTCCTTTAATTAGGATTTACATGGTTGGTTGGATAATTGATGTGTGTATGATATTTGGATATTTTGAATTGGTTGACGTTTTGGTTCTGCCAATCTTATGTTATTATAATTTTAATATTCTTAGATATAAGTTTTATGTCGATGGTGTTGGAGACTTGGAGTTATAGGTCTCTTTTGGGTTTCGATGATTTTGGGAATGGCAGGTAATTGTTAATGAAATCTTGGAAACCATCTTTATGGATGAAGTTGCCTAATGCAATTTCCACCCAGAGGGTACTGACTCAGTGAACAATGGGTGTTTTGTAATATTACCTGTCATGTCTTGTATATTACTAAATTGATTTCTTGTTACTATTCATATGTTATTTTAATTTGGCCATTGAAGGTTAGAAGGACATGCTTATTATAAGTATGCCATCCCTTGGTTATTTTTCTCTGAATATAATGTATTTTTGTTCCTGTGTCAAACTCGATTGTCAATTTATTAGTGGTATTGTTATTGAGGTGGAGTATCCAGGAATTGAAGGATACTTAGAGGTTTAGTTTTGTTGACCCACTAGTTATAAATTGGTTCTAGAAAAGATCGTGAATTCATTAATGGCTTTTCATCTCCTGTAAACAGACAGGAGTAAAATTCAAGTGCAAATGATTAGAGTCACCTGGAGATTTGATAATTATGGCATTGGTGGATTGATGTGGGCATTCCCACTTCAGCAACCAGATGTTATTGTAGTCATTGAAGGGTGATTGAACTTTAGTTTGAGCCACACCATTTATATCTTCCCTAGTGATGAGGAAAAGTAATTGCTTGATTTTCCTTGTCCTTGGGTCTTTTCTGCTGGTGATTTGATATTGTTGAGTTATGTGAAAATGGTTCAAGTTTCTTTACTAAATGTGTTTATTGGTAATTGAATTTGAAATTGATGGGATTTCTGTACATGCTTTGATTTCACTGTCAGATTAACGGGAAGTTGTAGACAAAGCTTTCTGTTCTTTTCTTTTCCTTCTAACAAATGACAGCATCAAAATTGTTTCCTTGTAATCTTATCGGTATTACAATTAGACTGAGACTGGTTTTTGTTTACTTGCAAGCCTGGTTCGAAATTGAAGATAGCTAGGGGATGGAATCAGTCCAGCCAATTACAACTTGTATCCAAAGAGGTGCTTAGCATAGAGCAAACATTTGTCTTTTTTTTAGTTAAATGTATCAGTACTAGAGTTCAGCAGGGGACCGGTCCCAGGCCCATGAGAAAAACCAGGATCCGGACCAGGCCCTAGGCCTGGTCGGGACTGGTCCTATGGGCCCAGGATCGGTCCTATGGGTTTGGATAATTTTTTCCCCCCCCTGATATTTTTTTATATTTTAGGGGTGAAATGAAGTTTTATAGGGGGTTTTTAGTATTTTTTAGAGGTTGATTAGTAAGTTTCTAAAAATTTAATTAATTTTAAAAAATAATAAATTAATAGTTAATTTTAATTTTTAACATAAATGTAATATTCACATTTCACACATTCACGCTTCACAAATAAACAATTAAATAATTTTTTTTTATTAAATTATTCATCTTCAATGCCCACTTGCTCGATCCTTGAGGGGGGGCTGCATCAAGGTCCTGATCGCCTCTCTTAGACGTTCCACTTCCATTTCCACTTCCACTTCCACTTCCATTGTACCTGTTCTCATATAAAGAAAAAAACATATCCAATTTGTGTTTAAAGTCAATCAAATAAGACGCATAATCATATCCTAAATGCCGGCCTAACTCAGTAATTCTACTGTTAACTACGGATAATTTAAACCAAGGATCTAGAAAAATGACTAATCCATATAAGAACGGAATATTTAACCAATATTTCTTATATTTTTCTTCCATACTTAAAACAATTTCATGTAAAATGTTATCATATCTATATTGAGCAAAAGTTTTAGCAATTTGAACTAAAATATCTAACACTAAATTAGTAGTTGGATAATAAATACCAAATAATATATTAGTAGCATAATAAAAAATTTTAAGAAATGAATAAAAAAGTTCACAAACCGCCCAATCATCATAGTTGACAACTTCCTCTGGATGGTTCTTCCGATTGACGAAATCTGTAATTTGTTTTGCGGTTGGCAAAGCTTTTTCCAATATCAAGTAGGTAGAGTTCCAACGGATAGGCATGTCTGTACATAACTTCAAAGGTCGAACCGGTGGCTCCTTTTGCTTACAATATTTGACGTACTCCTGCTGTCTTTTATTGCTACCGTCGACGATAAATCCGATAGCTCTATGCACCCTCTCCATCTTTGAATGTATAGCATCTAAACCTGTTTTAACTATCAAATTGATGATGTGATAAGCACATCTCTGGTGATAAAATTTGCCTTCACCAAGCAGATCCAATCTCTTTTCAAATAAAGAGGTTGCCGCGGTGTTAGCAGCTGCATTATCAAGCGTTAGCGCTACAATTCTATCAATTAATAAATATTCTTGCAAAACTTCAAGAATTGTAAAATAAATAGTTTCAGCACTATGTTTTTCATATAATGGTTTAAAACCTATCAATTTTTGTTGTAAACCCCAATTATGATCTAAGAAATGTACTGTGACAGTTAAATCGGTTTTTGATCTACAAGCCCATATGTCTGATGTAAGTACAATATATATATTCCTAAAATTTTGAAATTCGTTTTTAAGTTTATTATTTATTTTGTTATAAAGTTTTAGTATATCTCTTCTACTTGTACTTCTTCTAACAGGGGTATATGATGGACAAAATGCAGTTTTAACCATATTAACAAAAAAAGGATTTTCAGATAAACAAATGGGAGAGTCCGTAGCAACTATATATCTTGCTATTTCCTCTCGTGCAACATGTGTATTGTATTGCCATGTTGAGAGAGTTGAGGATTGTGGATTAAAATTAAGTTGAGTTTGAATTTGTCTACCTGATCCGCTTGAAGATGCATTTATTTGGGGATGCTTCTTCTCTATGTGTCGTCGCATCGTCGAAGTCCCCTTCTCAGCGCCAATAATGGTTCCACATAAATTACATATCCCACACGATTCTTCCCCCTCCCCATTTGTCTTTGGCCGTTTTGATTTGGTGAAGTATCGCCAGACATCGGACACGACCCTCTTTGACGGTCGGGGGGGTTGGGCTATGTCCGTGCCCGTTGACTCGCAGCTCACATGTGTTTGGCTACACCTCGTCCCGGCCGAATGTGGTTGTGGAATTACAGCTGCATCCTCTGGAGGAAATGGTGAAAATGGATTGAAGGCTTCAATTTCTTCGGTGGATGGAACGTAAAACTCATTTGGGGAAGACATTATAAATTTATGATGAAATAATAAATAATTAAAATGGAAAGAAATTAAATAATAATATGAAATTATGATGATATTGAAAAATAGAAAAACATTTGAATAATATAAATAAATTATATGAATAAATTATAAATATAAATTGAATGAGAAATTGATTGGAGATTTGGAGTAGAGAGATTGAGAGAATGAAAGAATGAGAGATTGATTTGTGTGAAAAAAATAAAAGATTTTAGAGTTATTTATAGTGTAGTTGTGGGGAGGAAAATGAAAAAAAAAAAACTTATAATTAATAATATAATTATAACCGTTGGTTGCTGTGATCGTTGGCAGCCAACGGTTATAAAAAGTTAAAATACTTTTTTTGTTTTAAATAAATTTTGTAAAATTTTATTTTAGTCCTTGTAATTTATACTTATTTAAAATTAATAAGGGGTTTAATGTAATTTTACAAGGGACTAAAAGGATAAAATACAAAAAAAATTGGGCCCAGGCTCGGGCCCTCCTCCTTAGGCCTGGTCTCGTTTCCTATGACTAGTCCTAGGACCGGGTTTTGGGGCTAGGTTTTTAGGCCCAGTCCCAAATGCCCATCTCTACCTGCAACCATCAAGATAAAACAGCTTCAAAGAGATCCCAAATGTTCCATTCAACCGTGTTTATAAGTCCATTCAAAGTACCGATTAGAGCTGGGCATTTGGGACCAGGCCCAAAAGCCTAGCCCCAAAACCCGATCCTAGGAGGCCTGGTCCCAAAACGGGACCAGTTCCAAGGCCCAGGCCTGGGCCCAATTTTTTTTTTGTATTTTATCTTTTTAGTCCCCTGTAAAATGATATTAAACCCCTTATTAATTTTAAATAAGTATAAATTATAAGGGCTAAAATGAAAATTTTACAAAATTTATTAAAAAAAAAAAGTATTTTAACTTTTTATAATCGTTGGCTGCCAACGGTTATAATTATATTATTAATTATAATTTTTTTTTTCATTTTCCTCCCCACAACTACACTATAAATAACCCTAAAATCTTTTATTTTTTTCACACCAATCAATCTCTCATTCTTTCATTCTCTCAATCTCTCTACTCCAAATCTCCAATCAATTTCTCATTCAATTTATATTTATAATTTATTCATATAATTTATTTATATTATTCAAATGTTTTTCTATTTTTCAATATCATCATAATTTCATATTATTATTTAATTTCTTTTCATTTTAATTATTTATTATTTTATCATAAATTTATGATGTCTTCCCCAAACGAGTTTTACGTTCCATCCACTGAAGAAATTGAAGGCTTCAATCAATTTTCACAATTTCCTTCAGAAGAAGCAACTGCAATTTCACAACCACATTCGGTCGGGACGAGGTGTAACCAAACACATGCGAGCTGCGAGTCAACGGGCACGGGCATAGCCCAATCCCCCCGACTGTCAAAGAGGCTCGTGTCCGATGTCTGACGATACTTCGCCAAATCAAAACGGCCAAAGACAAATAGGGAGGGGGAAGAATCGTGTGGGATATGTAATTTATGTGGAACCATTATTGGCGCTGAGAAGTGGACTTCGACGATGCGACGACACATAGAGAAGAAGCATCCCCAAATAAATGCATCTTCAAGCGGATCAGGTAGACAAATTCAAACTCAA